CCCCCCCCCCCCCCACTTCCTCCTCCCCACAGCTCCAGGAACCCTGGGACACGGAACCTTCTGGAAAGGAGCAGGGGGGTCCCAGCGGGGGCTCCCCCCGCCCTGAGCCCCCAAACCCCGGGGGGGACCTTGGGGAGGGTCCCCAAAATCCCCCCGAATCCGAGCCCCCCCCCAGCTCCTGAGCCCCTGGAGGTGGCTTTGGTGTCACTGTCCCCTCCCTTGGGGACAATTCCTCACCCCCCCCTCAAAAAAAAAAAGGGAAATAAAGGTTTGGAAATGCAGGAAATCCTTGGAATGAGCCCAAATCCAGTTGGGATTTAGGGTTGGGCGCTGCTCCCTCCTCTTCCTCCACCCTGGTCCCGAGGGAGGTTTCTTAATTGGGAAGTTAATTGGGATGGGATCTAAAAATTCCAACCAGGAGAAGATTTTTTTCCCCCCCCCCAAAATCCCGGATTTTGCCAGCGGGATCCGTCCCCACACGGAGCTGGGGCAGGAATTCGGGATGGAGTGGGGAGGGTCCCCTTTCCAAAGGTTAAAAATCCTTTAAATACACCCCCAAAACCTGCAAATTTCCCTTTTTATTCCCCAAATCCCAGAGGAGAATCCCATTCCAGGGTGTGGGGACAAGGGACAAGAGGCGGGGCTGGAGGATCACAGCTGCTTTATTCCAGAATAATTCTTCCAGACCCGGAAAAATCCCATTCCCACCGGGAAAACCGGGAAGTTCTCGCTGGGAGGGGGGATGGTTTCAACATTTTGGGGAGTTTTTCCTTCCAGAAACGGCTGAATCATGGAATTCCCACGGGATTGAGGAAGCCCAAGGGGGGGGGTGGCAGCAGGGGTGGCAGCGAGATGTCACCTGTCACCCACCCCCGTGGGGCGCTGCCTCAATGGAGCTCCTTGTCCCGCTGAGATCCCACCCCATTCCCAATCCCACTCGTGGGGACACAGATCCTGCATTGTCCCGGCCTTGGGGACACGTGGGGACACCCTGGGGACACCCTGGGGACACCACGGGGACACCGGGGGGACACCACGGGGACAAGGAGCTCACCCCATTCCCAATCCCACTCGTGGGGACACCCTGGGGACACGTGGGGACACTGGGGACACCCTGGGGACACGTGGGGACACTGGGGACTCCATGGTGACACCGTGGGGACACCCTGGTGACACTGGGGACACCCTGGGGACACTGGGGACACCGTGGGGACACTGGGGACACCCCGGTGACACCGTGGGGACACCTGGGGACACCTGGGGACACCTGGGGACACTTTGGGGACACTGGGGACGAGGAGCGCCGCTGGCCTGGGGGGTGGGGCAGGCAGCTCCGCTCATCCCAGGATTTGATTTTTGGCCGGGGGAGGGGTTGGGAAGCGTCACCTTCCCCGGAAGGGGTGGGAATTGTTCCGGGAATTGTTCCGGGAATGGCGGGAATTGTTCCGGGAATGGCGGGAATGGCGGGAATTGCAGCTGGAATTGCGGGAATGGCGGGAATGGCGGCTCACAGGGCGGCCAGGCCGGCGGAGGACAGCAGGGTCAGGGCCAGCACCAGCAGCCCCGACTGGGTCACCTGCGGCAGCCGCAGCCCCTTCCCCAGATCCCAGGCCTGCGGAGAGCCCGGGATTCGGGAACCCGGCCTTTCCAGGGATTCCAGCCCCCCCAGGCCTTTCCCGTTCCCTCTCCCCTTTCCCACTTCCTGCTCCCTTCCCACTTCCCCATTCCAGCCTTGCTCCACTCGTTCCATTTCCTCTCCCAATCCCCATCCCCATTCCCAATCCACCTTCCCTCTCCCTCTCCCATTCCCAGTCCCATTCCCATTCCCTCTCTCATTCCCCATTTCCCTCTCCCATCCTCCATTCCCATTCCCATTCCCCCTCCCATTCTCCATTCCGATCCTTATTTCCAATCCACCTTCCCTCTCCCTCTCCCATTCCCAGTCCCATTCCCATTCCCTCTCTCATTCCCCATTTCCCTCTCCCATCCTCCATTCCCATTCCCATTCCCCCTCCCATTCTCCATTCCGATCCTTATTTCCAATCCACCTTCCCTCTCCCTCTCCCATTCCCAGTCCCATTCCCATTCCCTCTCTCATTCCCCATTTCCCTCTCCCATCCTCCATTCCCATTCCCATTCCCCCTCCCATTCTCCATTCCGATCCTTATTTCCAATCCACCTTCCCTCTCCCTCTCCCATTCCCAGTCCCATTCCCATTCCCTCTCTCATTCCCCATTTCCCTCTCCCATCCTCCATTCCCATTCCCATTCCCCCTCCCATTCTCCATTCCGATCCTTATTTCCAATCCACCTTCCCTCTCCCTCTCCCATTCCCAGTCCCATTCCCATTCCCTCTCTCATTCCCCATTTCCCTCTCCCATCCTCCATTCCCATTCCCATTCCCCCTCCCATTCTCCATTCCGATCCTTATTTCCAATCCACCTTCCCTCTCCCTCTCCCATTCCCAGTCCCATTCCCATTCCCTCTCTCATTCCCCATTTCCCTCTCCCATTCTCCATTCCCATTCCCATTCCCCATTCCCACTCCCCACTCCCACTCCCATTTCCCACTCTCCATTCCCGTTCCCCATTCCCATTCCCATTCCCATTCCCCCTCCCATTCCC